CTCTCTCTCTCTCTCTCTCTCTCTCTCTCTCTCTCTCTCTCTCTCTCGGTGTGTGTGTGTGGGGGTGTGTGGGGCAGTGCCAGGGCATAGTACATGCTAGGAAAGTACTCTCCCACTAAGCTGCATGTCCAGCCCTTTCAGGGATTTTTGTCCACAGCAGCATTCATGCCTTAGAAGAGTGCCTGAAATAGAATAGTTGCTCAATAAATATCTGTTTTCTCTGTGGTATATATACACAGTGGAGTATTATTCAGCTATAAAGAAGAATGAAATTATTATTTGCAGAAAAATGGATGGAACTTGGGCTGGGGATATAGCTCAGTTGTTAGAGTGCTTGCCTCGAATGCACAGGCCTTGGGTTCATTCCCCAGTACAACACACACACACTGGTTGGAACTTGAGAACATTGTGTTAAGCAAAATAAGCCAAACTCAGAAGATCAAGAATTATATGTGTTTTCTCTCATGTGGGAGCTAAAGAGGAAAAAGGAAAAGAAAGGTTGGGGGGATCAGTAGAATAAAAGAAAAGAAAGGGAACAGGGAGTGGGAAGAAGGGAAGGAAAGGGGAATGGGGAGCGTGCTAGGGAATGATATTGGCTAAATTATATTGTTACATTGTGTGCGTATAGGAATATATAACAACAAATTCCACCATTATGTACAACTATAATGCATCAGTAAAAAAAAATGTGGATAAAAATACCTGTTTTCTGTGTCTGGCTGGCTAGCTACTCTGGGCATGGTTTAAACTTCTTCACTTGTAAAAAATTACATTTACTATTTATTGGATGTATACTAACGTATACCATGTGCTAGGCACTTAAATATATTATCAGTAATCCTTGCCACCTTCCTAACAGGTAATATTGATGGGCTGTGGATGAAGAAGGGAGAGGGGAGAAGTCAAAGATTTTTCCTAGGTTTCTGACTTGGATATTGATCCAAGTGATAATGAAACTCCTGGGGAGGTTTATGAGGTTTTTTTTGTTTTGTTTTGTTTTTCCCCCCCCAAGATAAGCAGTGTCTGTGATATCTGCAGGTAGATACAGGAGTCTGTTCCTGTGGCAAAGGTTTCAGAGATGCCACCTGTATACCAGTTAGTCTGAAGATGGTGGTGGTCTTGATCTTTCCAGAGCAAGGATGCTTCTTTTAGGAACTGTGGCCTTAAAGCCATTATTTCCACTGTACTCTAACTTGAACATGTTTATTAGTTTCTGTTCCAGATGATCGGGCCGAACAACGAACCTGTCTTATTTGTGGGGACCGTGCTACAGGCTTGCACTATGGGATCATCTCCTGTGAGGGCTGCAAAGGGTTCTTCAAGCGGAGCATTTGTAACAAACGGGTATATCGATGCAGTCGTGACAAGAACTGTGTCATGTCTCGGAAACAGAGAAACAGGTGCCAATACTGCCGCCTACTCAAATGCCTCCAGATGGGGATGAACCGGAAGGGTGAGTGGTACTCAGTGCTCCTAACTGCCCACCCTTCACCCATCTTGTACCTTTAGTATCAGCTATTATATTTTAGAGTTATTAATTTCCCAAGCCTGCACTATACATCAGGTCTTACCTTGTATGCTCATAACTCAAAAATATATCTCCTGCATATGGGAACCTCCCAGTTTAGGTGAGAGGAAAGACATATGATGTTAAGGATTCTGTGGCAGCTAATGCATAGGCCCTGTATGGTAAGACCCCAGTTAACAATTAGATCCTGGCTGGGATTAATATACTCCCCTAGTTTTTCAAAGAATGATGATAATATAAAGTAGGAATTTAGATGGTTAAAAGTCACGTATGAGACAGGCGGTCTTGTGAATGTGGTATAATTTTGTTTACTAAAACCGTGGTGTATTCAGAGGCTGGATGTGTTCAGAAATCTGTATCTAGGTTGATGAAGAGTTTGTGGTTTATTGGGAAGTTTCCTAAGAGCCATTAGGAAATTAATTAATATACTAAGATTAATTATTAAAGGGAAGCTTTGAAGAATGGATTGAGGTAGGAGAAATAGAAAAACTACCCAGAAAGTTTTTAGAAGAGCCCAGAAGGATGGTGTAGAGAACAAAGTAGCACAGATGGAAGTTGGAGTTATGGAAGAAACTCACCCAATAGGAGTTGGTGACACACTTTTAGGCAACGTCAGAAGTTAAAGTTGAGGATTTGGATTAAGAATAATGGTCAGGGGGCTGGGGATGTGGCTCAAGTGGTAGCACGCTCGCCTGGCATGCGTGCGGCCCGGGTTCGATCCTCAGCACCACATACAAAACAAAGATGTTGTATCTGCCGATAACTAAAAAATAAATATTAAAATTCTCTCTCTCTCTCTCTCCTCTCTCACTCTCTCTTTTTTTTTAAAAAAAGAATAATGGTCAGGAAAAAAAAAGTCAGGCCAAAGGGCAGAATGGAGCAAAATGTTCACCTTGGCAGTTCCCAGTTTGAAGTACCTCAGAACACCAAGAAGTTTGTGAGCTATTGGCACAGAGAACCTGGATGTAGTTAAGAGAAGGGCCAGTGCCAGAACACTAGATTATGAATAGAAGAGGACACTGTCATTCAGTAGAAAGGAGGCTCTAGAAGCAGACCACCCTGTAGACTTAACAAGTTTACTTTATGTCTCTGATATTTTATATGATCTTACCTTTGAAATGATATGTGAATACCTTTCAGAGTTCTGTAGAGGACTGAATATGATAATGTATGTGAAAAACACAGCATTGTATTAGAGGTTCATAGCAGCAGTACATGAGAATAGAGGAGTTAGATTTGGTGAACTATTCAAGTTGGTTTTGTAGCATTAATGAATGTAGGCATCCAGATGTACTTTTTTTTTTCGGGGGTGGGGGGGCGGGCAGTGCTGGGAATTAAACCCAGAGTCTCACATATACCAGTCAGATGCTCTACCATTGAGCCATATCCCTCCCTGGTCACCAGATGTCCTTTAGACTGATTCTACTATGTGAGGGATAAGAAGGATCTTTTTAAGGGGCTGGGGCTGTAGCTCAGTGGTAGAGCATTTGCCTAGCTTGTGTGAGGCAATGAGTTCAATTTTCAGCACAGCATATTAATAAATAAATATCCACTGACATATTAAAAAATAATTCTATACTTAAAAAAAAGAAGGATCTTTTAAAAACTTACTTATTAGGAAAAAAGGTTAAGGGAGATACGAGAGAGCATTTAGATAAATTTTGGTGGTTTGTAATTTATTCATAATACTATTGAGCACTCACATGTACCAGAAACTCTTGTACTTTCCATGCATTATACCATTGAATACACATAATAACCCTTTTATTGACTATTATTCCATTTTATAAAGGTAATTTAGGGAGATAAAACTACTTGGCAGTAGTTAGTTTAGGGATGGTTATGACGACAATTAATAATTTCTAAGTTTAGAATTTGTTGTTAGTCAATCAGAGCTTAGGCATTATCACATGGACAACTAAGTGCTTCATATGTCTGTGACATAGCTATATGTGTGTTAGAATATCATGTTTACTGAATGCTAAACAAATGCCACAGTAGGACATTTGAAGTGTTGCTAAGTTTGATGGTCCCTGCCTATCTTTCTAACCTTTCTTTCCAGAACACTGCCTCTGGGATGATTTAAACCATTTTGCCTGTGCTCAGCCTCTTCCTTTATCTAGAAATCCTTTCCCTGCCCACTGTCACTTTCCTCTTATGAAAACCTTTCCCAGCCACCAGTACCAAACCAGTACTGTCTTGGAGAGTCTGTAGTTGTCTTCCTGCCCTCACCCTGATTTGTTTTTTTCCTCTGCTTTTCTCATTACCCTTTCTTGCCTTCAGTGTGAATATTTTATCTAAGAATAATTGTGGGATACCTTCTTATTCTCTGATCAATCATCTGCTTTATTCAGTTAGATTGTGAAAATTCTGAGACTTCCAGCCAAACTCACCTATTTTAGGGAAGAAAAAACTTATAACTTCCCTTAAGCATAACTGGAGATTAAACATGGAGAATGAGGGATAGAGAGTTGTCCATTTATTTGCATGTAAAGCAGGCCAAGCCCCGTTGCCTAGTGAACACTGCCTCTCAGAGACAAACCCTGCCACCTTCTGGTTGGTGCTGAGAAAGCAGAATTAAAATTAGTTGTCATACTTTGAAGGTAAGAAATAATCTGTATAAAACTATGATAGCTGATAAATATATACATTTGTCAAAACTCATAGAACTATACACCACACAAAAAGTGAATTCTACTGGATGTTACAATTATTTTAATCAACCAGTATGTGATAGGTTTGGGGGCAGGGAACTGAGAACTGGAATATGCACTATGGCAGTGAATGAATCTAACTGGTGTTATAACAAGTCACATAACCACACTGAAGGGCATAGAGAAGAAAGGAGCTGACCTTGGAAAACAGTGTTTTGACTGTATATTGTAAGGCAAAAGACACAAAGAATTGTGTACAAAGCACTCTAGTTTGTAAAATTTATTTCTCTCAAGGTTATATGTTAGGAATTTTGTTCCTACTTTAATTGTATTTTGTGATTAATATATTGTAGGTGATGAGAGTCAGGTTTTGCATATCAGAGAAGATAAGTCAAGAATGGTGCCTGGCACAGTGGTGCACACCTGTAATCCCAGCAACTTGGGTGGCTGAAGCACATTTGAGGCCAGCCTGAACAATTTAGCAAAATCCTGTCTCAAAATATAAAGTAAAAAGGGCTGAGGGTGTAACTCAGTGGTAAGAGTGCCCTTGGGTTTAATCCCCAGTACTACAATCAATCAGGAAAGACCAGGATAAAACCTCAGGTGCTAATTGGAATCAGTGGTATCAGAATGGACTCATGTTTAGATAACGGACAGGAGGGTGGAAAAAATAAAAAGCAGATGTGTGAGGATACATGACTTAGTATATCTATATGTCTTTCCAAGCTCTAGCCACTAGAAGGGGCTAGGAGCAGTTATACCCCAGTTGCAATGAGCATACCTAGCACCCAGATCTTGGTTTCTAAATACCAGTAAAAGGAGTCAGGACTGGTTGATTCTAGATCTGGGACAGGGAAAATATCAAATGAACCTGGAGTATCTTGTGGTGCAAAAAATTTAGGAAATACTAAAGAAAAAGAAGAAGAAATGGGGAGGGGGGGTGGGCAGCAGCAGCATGTCAGAAGGACACAGAGCCCAGCCTGAAAGTGCTTCCAGTGGTCAAAATTGGAACAATTTAGGCAACAAAATAATTCTAGTATTTGTTTATTTGTTTTGTTCCGTTTTGTTGTATTGTGTTTTTTTGGTATCAGGGATTGAATCAGGGGTGTTTAACCACTGAGCCACATCCCCAGCCTTTTCTATATTTTATTTAGAGACAGGGTCTCACTAAGTTGCTTAGGGGCCTTGCTGAGTTGCTGAGGCTGGCTTTGAACTTTTGATCCTCTTGCCTCAACCTCCCCAGTTGCTGGGATTATAAGCAGATGCCACCATGCCCGGCCTAGAATTAGCTTTTAACCCAAGGAATAAAATAAATATCCATGAGTTCATGCTGAAAGAAATACCTAAGTCAGTAAAGTGAAGGGACAACTTTTCCTTGTAAGAGAATTCCAGTTGATAAATGTTGAAGGCATGAAGGAACACTGTTAAAGCACCATAGTATTAACTGCTGCAGACAAGATGAACTGATAGGTCCAACATAAGTGACATCAGTTTAAACAAAAACAGAATATTTGTATAGTCTGATAATATTCAATAATTACAAAGGGGAAAATATTTTCCATAGAGAATTGTACTTTAGCCAAGAGGTCAAGGTTAAAATAACCAGTAAAACATACTGACATTATTTTACACCTGATGTGATACATTGAGAAGGGCATAGGTATATACACACAGAAAGCTAATTTCATTCTCAGTCCAATCTCCAGAAAACAGACAAGCCCATATTGAGGGACAGTCTTCCAAATAACTGACATTCTATAGCATATTCTTGAAAAGTGTCAAGGTCTCAAACATCAAGGAAAGATAGAAGGACTATCACAGATTTGGGAAAACTACGGAGAAATTGCTACTAAATACAGTGTGCCATCTGTGATTGAACAAAAAAGGACATCTGTGGAACCACTGTAGGAACCCACATATAGTCTTTACTGCTTTTTGGTTAATAATATTATTCCAAAATTTATTTCTTAGTTTTAATAGTCTATAGTCTATGGGATATATAGTGTAAAAAGAAGGAAAAAGGTAGGTATAGAGAACATGGAAACTCTCCATACTATTTTCACAACTCTTCTGTAAGTCTGACTTTACCTCAAAATTTTAAGAAGTAACTTAAAAATGCAACTGCCAATTGTGGCTGGGACCATGTATGAGCAGCCCTCTCTTGTTCCCCATCTTTAGATAGAGAACTAAATATCTTTCAGACCTGGAAGTTGGCTGGTCAGGAAATTAATTATTAAGGTAGTGAGTAAAATCTAAAGGAGGATAATGAGT